CCCCTTCCCCTTTCTGCAGCCATGGAGTCGGCCATTTCTCCTCCCGCGACGCCGGTGCCCGATCAGCCGGGGCAGCCCGAGCCCCAGCAGCCCGAGCCGCACCAGGCAGGGCGGCTCCAAGAGCAGGAGCCGGAACTGCCGCCGCCCGCGCCGCCGGCTTTGGCCAGCCCTGGTGATGGTCAGACCGACACCCAGACCCAGACCCAGACCCTGCCCGTAGACCTGGAGATCAATGTGTACGATCTCGCCGTTGCCGGCCCCCCCTCGCCCTTTCCCTCCCTCCCTCCCTCCCCCCCCCCCCGGTCTCACCCTGCTTTTCTCCCTCCCTCGCTCCCTCGGCACCTGTCTCGTCCCCGGCCATGCTGGCATCCAGCACCCCTGCCAGCGCCTCGGCCTCGCAGGTGTGGGGCCGCCTCTTCTCCCTTGACATGAGGCGGGAGCACATCCTTTCGCGCGCGACGCCGGAGATCCTCTTCGGCCGGCGCAACGGCCTGGAGGTGTTCATCCAAAATGAGACGGTCAGCAAGCAGCACTGCCGGATTTTGTCCTGTTCGTGCCGTCCCCCGGTCTGCCTCCCCTCTTGCACCTGCCCCCACACGGTGTGCCTGTCGCGGCGGCTTTCTAACATACCCGGCTCATTCTCCCCCCCCCCCCCCCCCCCCCCCCCCGTCGGTGTGTCTCCCTCGGCCATGCCGAAAGCCGAAAGCCCGGACGGTGTGTCACACATCATCCAGGATAGCAACTCCACCAATGGCACCTTCGTCAACGGGTATATGCTGAATCGCGGCGCGCAGATCACCCTCAAACACCGGGATGTCATCACCATCTCCTCGCGCTTCCCGCCCGGGGACTCCGGCTTGAGTTTCATCTTCATGGATGCCTTCAGTTACCCGGCCGACAGCGACGCCGGGGCCGTGCTGTTGACCGGGAATTACCACATCACATCCATTCGACTGGGCAGGTGCGCGGGCGTCCTGACACGTGTATGCGCGGCCCCCGGCCCCAATGCTGACGTCTCCCCCCTCTGTCTTTTTTTTTGTCCCTCCGTCTCTCTCCCTCTGTCTATGTCCCCCTGTTTCCCGGCCTCCACCTCTCCCCCCTCTATCTCTCCCCTGCGTGAGCAGCGGGCAATTCGCCCAGGTGAATCTCGGCTTTGACCGAGTGTCCGGCGAGCGCGTGGCTGTCAAGATGATCGACAAGAAGCAGATGCTCACAAGCGACAAGACCACGAAGAACCTCCGCCAGGAAATCACCATCATGAAGTTGGTGGATCACCCCTTCATCGTCAAGATCTACGACGTCCTGGAGTCGCCCACCTCCGTGTACTTGATCATCGAGTTGTATGTGACCTATTCCTTGTCCCTCGCCCCTCGCGCGCGCGCGCACACACGCGCGTGCATGCCCGAGTCGATCCACCTCCCGCCTGCCTCCCCTCTGTCCCTGTGTCTTTGTCCCTTTGTCCCTTTGTCCCTTTCTCATTCTCTCTCTCTCTCCCTCTCTCTCACACAAACACACACGCGCACCGTCATGCAATCCCCGAAATGCCCCCGAACGAACCCCCCCCCCCCCCCCCTTGCACACACTCGTCACACCGCCCGGTGGCCAGCGTCGGCGGCGGGGAGCTCTTCAAGAAGCTCCGCACGGAGGGACCCCTGCGCGAGGAGCAGGCCAAGGTGGTCTTCTTCCAGCTGCTGCTGGCGGTGATCGACCTGCACCAGAAGAACATCGTGCACCGGGACCTGAAGCCGGAGAACATCCTCATCCAGAACCTGACACACGCGGACCTGGAACAGCAGCCCATCCTACGGGGCCACATGGCCATCAAGGTGGCGGATTTCGGCCTATCACGCTACCTGAATGACCATTCCTTCCTGATGAACACCTTTTGCGGGACACTGGCATACATTGCGCCGGAGATCCTGCAACAATCGCAGTACGACAGCCTGGTGGACTGCTGGTCGCTCGGGGTCATCCTGTATGCGCTTCTGTCGAGGGAGCTGCCCTTCTACTCGCCGCACAACATCCGCCGGACGCAGGAGCTCGTGCAGGAGGGCCTGCTGAACTTCAGCACGCCAGTCTGGCAGTCGGTGTCTGACGAGGCGAAGGACCTGATTTCGAACCTGCTGCAGGTGGATCCGGCCCGGCGGTTTACGGCCGAGCGTGCCATCCTGCACCCTTGGCTGCAGGACCCCACCACGCGCCGAGTCGTGGACCTGCTGTTTGCGCGCCAGCGCCCGGTGGCCTCGGCGCCGGCCTTTAGCGGAGAGCCTGGCATGGCGCCGGCCACCGCCACCGCTGCTGCTGCTGCTGCTGCTGCTGCCGCTGCCGCTGCTGGTACTGCTGCTGCCACTACTTCTACTTCTACTTCTACTTCTACTTCTACTTCTACTTCTACTACTACTGCTGCTGCTGTTGCTGCTGCTGCTGCTGCTGGCACTGCTGCCGCCACCGCCGCCACCGCCGCCGCCACCGCCGCCACCGCCGCCACCCTTGCCCCCGTCTCCGGCCCCGCTGGCAATGCCACTCCCACGGGTGCTGCCTCGCCGCTGCCCGGGCGAGTGGCTCTGCTTCGTGGTGAGGCCCAGAGCGACGACGCGCCCGGCGGCAGCACGCCGGCCCTCGTCCAGACCCCGGGGTCGGCCATCGGATCGGGCCCCTTTGCTGGTCGCGCGGCCAGTGTCGGCTCCCCCTGCCCGGCGCCGGCGGCGGGCCGGCTCACTGGACTCCTCTCACCGGCTGCTGGCGGCCCGGGCTCGGAGCCAGCCCGGTCGGAGGAGTCGCGCGGCGGGGCGGCATCCGCAAACGCCTCCTCCACGGCGAATGAGGCGG